CGACCACAACCACAGCTGCTCCAACAACAACCACAGCTGCTCCAACCACAACCACAGCTGCTCCAACCACAACCACAGCTGCTCCAACAACAACCACAGCTGCTCCAACTACAACTACAGCTGCTCCAACAACAACCACAGCTACTCAAACAACAACTACAGCTGCTCCAACCACAACCAAAGAGGCTCCAAAAAAAACTACAGCTGCTGCAACGTCAACAACTGCTGCTCCAACTACAACCACAGCTGAGCCAACAACAACCACAGCTGCTCGAACCACAACCACAGCTGCCCCAACCACAACCACAGCTGCTCCAACAACAACCACAGCTGCTCCAACAACAACCACAGCTGCTCCAACCACAACCACAGCTGCTCCGACTACAACCACAGCTGTTCCAACCTCAACTACAGCTGCTCCAACAACAACCACAGCTGCTCCAACAACAACCACAGCTGTTCCAACAACTACAGCTGCTCCAACCACAACCACAGCTGCTCCAACCAAAACAACTGCTCCACCCACAACCACAACTGCTCCAAAAACAGTCACAGCTGCCCCAACCACAACTACAGCTGCACCAACTATAACCACAGCTGCTCCAACAACAACCACAGCTGCTCTAACCACAACCACAGTTGCTCCAACCACAACTACAGCTGCTCCAACCACAACTACAGCTGCTCCAACCACAACTACAGCTGCTCCAACATCAGTTACAGCTGCTCCAACCACTGCCACAGCTGCTCCAACTACAACCACAGCTGCTCCAAGAATAACCACAGCTGCTCCAACCACAACCACAGCTGCTCCGACTACAACCACACCTTCTCCAACTACAACCACACCTGCTCCAACAACAACTACAGTGGCTCCAACAGCAACTACAGCTACTCCAACCACAACAATAGCTGCTCCAACCACAACTACAGCTGCTCCAACAACAACCACAGCTGCTCCAACCACCACCACAGCTGCTTCAATCAAAAGAACAGCTGCTCCAACCACAACCACAGCTGCTCCAACCACAAGTGCAGTTACAGTTACAACAAGAATACTGAGTTTCAAGTCAAATGACACTTTCAATAATGATCTCAGTAATACATCTTCACAGGCATATTCAGATAGAGTTTCCTTTTTGAAAGGAAAGGTGAGTTTAATTTACTATTGTTTTCTACCTTGATTTCTCCTTCTTTCAAATGTAAAAATGTAAATAATTAGTAGTATTTTTCATAGTTCCATTTTATGACTTTAACAAGCAAGTGAAACTTTTAGGTTTACAGTCTTTGCAAGTCTTATAATCAGAGCTGATCTGATTTGGCATTTTGTCACTTGTTTGAAAGCAATTTCACTGCAAACCATAACTGTCTTTGAGATGTTGTTTCCTTTAAAAATTTAATCACCAGCCATAACCCATGTTAAGGCAGCCTATATAATTCTTTAATTTTCAAGATTATCTTTTGCCAAAGCAATTTGTGTGTCAACATTTTTACATTTTTAAAATGTGAAATGGAAATATGACAAGTGTAGTAATTATTGAAACCACATACTGAACAAACTCCAGTAAATCAGTTGTATACAAATATGGCAGTTTGCAAAAATGTTTCAATTAGGTTTTCCTTTTAGACTAATGTTTTTTTTTATGTCTGTTGCAGCTTGAGCCACACTATAGAAACAGATTTCCTTCACTTCGCTTGTTTGGACCATTTTCATTTGGGTATGTGTTTTAATCAAGGACAGGAAAATCTAATAATTATTCATCAAACATTTGCAAGCATAAAATGTATTTATTTTTGCAGGAGTGGGTCAATCATAAACAATGTGAGCCTTGAGTTTGCATCCACATTGGTTCCTACAGACATTGAAATTGTGTCAATATTGCTGGTAGCAGCTTCAAACATCACAAGATTTACCATTGTCAGTAATTCCATTGCAGTGGATGGCAGATGTAAGTAAAAAAGTTCATACTTAAAATTTCTGGACAATCAAACAAAAGACACAAATGTACAGTACAAACAACAGTTCGCTTAAGTGAAATGAAATTTAAAGGAAGCCTGTGATGTATAAGATAACATTTCTGATTGTTTCAGTATTAGCTGTGATTTGTAACAATGAAGTGCCAACTACAGTTTTATAAACAGCATTAGTGAAATACTTTTTCCTGCTTYTCCATAAGAACGGTTGTAATAATTTTTTAATTCATATACTTTATTTCACAGTAATGACAAGTCATTTTCCACCAACAACAACTACAGCTGCTCCAACTACAACTACACCTGCTCCAATCAAAACTACAGCTGCTCCAACAACAATTACACCTGCTCCAACCACTACCGCACCTGCTCCAACCACTACCACACCTGCTCCAATTACAACCACAGCTGCTCCAACAACAACCACAGCTGCATCAACCACATCTACATCTGCTCCATCTACAACCACAGCTGCTCCAACCAGAACTACAGCTGCTCCAAYCACAACCAAACCAGCTCCAACCACAACTACAGCTGTTCCAACCACAAATACACCTGCTCCAACAACAACTACACCTGCTCCAACCACAACTAAACCTGGTCCAACCACAACCACAGCTGCTCCAACTGCAACTACACCTGCTCCAACMACAACCACAGCTGCTCCAACCACAACTACACCTGCTCCAACTACAAAAACACCTGCTCCAACCATAACCACCGCTGCTCCAACTACAACCACAGCTGCTCCAACCACAACTACAGTTGCTCCCACAACAACTATAGCTGCTCCAACAACAACCACAGGTGCACCAACCACATCTACATCTGCTCCATCTACAAATACAGCTGCTCCAACCAAAACCACACCTGCTCCAACCACAACTACAGCTGCTCCAACCACAAATACGCCTGCTCCAAAAACAACTACACCTGCTCCAACCACAACTACACCTGCTCCAACCACAGCTGCTCCAACCACAACTACACCAGCTCCAACTACAACAACACATGCTCCAACCATAACCACTGCTGCTCCAACTACAACCACAGCTGTTCCAACCAAAACTACAGTTGCTCCCACAACAACCACAGCTGCTCCAACCACAAAAACACCTGCTCCAACCACAAGCACAGCTGCTCCAACCACAACTACACCTGCTCCAACTACAACTACTCCTGCTCCAACAACAACTACACCTGCTCCAACCACAACTACACCTGCTCCAACCACAACTACACCTGCTCCAACCACAACTACACCTGCTCCAACAACAACTACAGCTGCTCCAACTACAACTACAGCTGCTCCAAAAACAACTACACCTGCTCCAACTACAACTACTCCTGCTCCAACAACAACTACATCTACTCCAACTACAACTACACCTGCTCCAACCACAACTACTCCTTCTCCAACAACAACAACAACAACACCTACTCCAACCATAACCACAGCTGCTCCAACCACAACTACACCTGCTCCAACAACAACTACACCTGCTCCAACAACAACTACACCTGCCACAACCAGAAATACACCTGCTCCAACCACAACTACACCTGCTCCAACCACAAGCACAGCTGCTCCAACCACAACTACATCTGCTCCAACTACAATACCTGTTCCAACCGCAACCACGACTGCTCCTACCACAACTACAACTGTTCCAACAACAACCACAGCTGTTCCAACCACAACTACACCTGCTCCAACCACAGCCACAGCTGCTCCTACCACAAATACAGCTGCTCCAACCACAATTACAGCTGCTCTAACCACAACTACTCCTTCTCCAACTACAACCACAGCTGCTCCAACCACAACCACAGCTGCTCCAACAACAACTACAGCTGCTCCAACAACAACTACAGGTGCTCCAACAACAACTACACCTGCTCCAACCACAACAACAGCTTCTCCAACAACAACTACACCTGCTCCAACCACTACCACACCTGCTCCAACCACAACAACACCTGCTCCAACCACAACCACAGCTGCTCAAACCACAACCACACCTGCTCCAACCACAACAACACCTCCTCCAACCACAACAACACCTGCTCCAACCACAACCACACCTGCTCCAACAACAACTACACCTGCTCCAACCAAAACTACACCTGCTCCAACAACAACTACACCTGCTCCAACCACTACCACACCTGCTCCAACCACAACCACACATGCTACAACCACAACCACAGCTGCTCCAACCACAACCACACCTGCTCCAACCACAACCACATCTGCTCCAACCACAACTACACCTGCTCCAACCACAACCACATCTGCTCCAACCACAACTACACCTGCTCCAACCACAACCACATCTGCTCCAACCACAGCTACACCTG